TCTGTAATCAGCTTCTGTTCCACCACCAAGAGGGCATGAAATGCAGAGGCTGCTGGAACTGTAGGAGCATCAGGAGCTGCCCTGCACCCACCAGTCCCCAGGGGGAGGGACCCTGAAGTGTACAACCTATGAGGAGCCCAGCTGGTGGCTGCTCTCACTGCCGGAGCCCTTCTCAGCCTCCTTTGTCCCCTTCCTCTCTCCCCCATCCTGCTCCAGTCACCCCTCCATCTTCAGAGCACGGCTCTTCCTCAAACATCCTGCCTCAGTGGCCCCTGCAGCCCAGAGCCCGGCTCTCCCTCAAACATCCTGCCTCAGTGGCCCCTGCACCCCAGAGCACGGCTCTCCCTCAAACATCCTGCCTCAGTGGCCCCTGCACCCCAGAGCCCGGCTCTCCAATTGGAATGCCGGCCACCCTAACCCCCCACCTCGCTGTGAAAATCCGCCCTGCGCAGCGCGCCCCAATGCAGAGCAGGACGGGCAGTGTGAAGGGCCCCGGCTCTGTCGTCACTGCGCTAGCAACTCATCTGCCTCCAGTTCCAGGCCACCCTCAGTTCTGTGCCCCTCGCTCCCTCCCCTCCCCAGGAACCTCAGCCCGAGCTGCCGCAACCTCCCCGCCTACCAAGGGTTAAGAAGCTTGATCCTGCCAGACAAAGGGGGGCAGCGGTACCCAGGCATTTGAGTGGCCATGCAGTGCCATCGTGTGGCCATAGCGCACAGCACCGCAAGCTTCCCAACCCGCTTCAGGCTGAGAGGAGTGAAGGAGCCAAGAAGGAATCAGCCAGGGGTAGGGCCTTGCTGGTCCCAAAGGAGCACAGGGCTTCCCTGCTCCCACCAGGCACTCCTGGCCAGTCCCTCCCCTGAGGAGACCAGGGCAGCCCAGAGAGGCCTACGCCTGGGCCCTCAGGTCTCAGCTGACACTGCTCAATGTGGACCAGAGAGTCCTGGCTGCCTCCTGCGCTGGGGATTTGTCATCTCTATGGTCACCATGCGGCAGGGGACTGGCCAGCATGTCCTTGCACAGCATGGCACAGCCTGGTGACCCTGCTTTGAAAGGAGGCAGCTGCTAATCATACAGCTGCTGAGTGTCCTTGAGACAGCCCAGAGAGTGCCCAGGAGCGCAGCCCTGGGGATCTTCTAACAGCAAACCACAGGGGTCAGCTTAGGGATTGCGGGTGCTTCAGCAAAGGTTTGGTGAAGCCTCTTTGTTGTAGGAAGTGGACCAGACACCTTCCCATTTTAACATCCTGCCCAGCAGTCCCACCCCCCTCCCCCAGCTCCTGCGGTGGATGGACAGAAAGGCATTTCTACCATGTGATTCAGCCTCTGCTTCTTGCCCCTGCTGAAATGAGTCATGGGAAACCACAGCCCACACACCCGTCCTCCCAAACTTTACTGAATCCCAGAGACTCCACTTCGAAGAAAGGTCAGGAGCCAGATCAGGCTACCTGACCGGGTGGGAAATTCCACTCCATTACAGTGGGCTGACTGGTGTTGCTTGCATTGGTCCAAGGCCTGGTAGCCTTGGGAACCAGCAGACCAGCAGATCCATTCATGCTTTTCCCAAACCAGCTGAGGTTTGTACTAAGACCTGGTCTGTGACCCACAAACCCTCCCATACAGCCCCCAGCTGACAATTCGCTCATGCTATCACTCCATCACTGCCTCACCTAAGGAATTCATTGCTGCAAGGCTGCAACGCATTCCCGCCTCTGCTGCACGTTTATCCTTTTACTGTGGGCATTGCAAGTCTTTCAGCTGCTGTGTGGGTGACTATGAAACTATGCGCAGAGCTGCACAAGGCAGAGGGAGTGGCCGAGACAGGCCAGGCTCACCATTGGCAAAGGTGGCTCTCACACCCAACTGAGCTAGTGCAAGGGGAGAGCGATGCACTTGGGGAACTGGCCCTGACAAACAGGATTCAAACCGCCCAACGGGCTCTTTTCCCTGCAATGAGCTGAATCAATCACGCGATCTAACATGGAGACACAGGATGGCTCATGGAAGACAGACATGAAATGGATCATCCAGATGAGATGAGGGCAGCACCATCCTGCTTTGGCCAAGATAGTGCATTTGGGCAAGGGGCTACCTACAGAGCACAAGGATACAGTTTTCCATAGATGCACTTGGCAGAGTGAGCTCTTCATAGGCAATCCAGGGAAGGTCTCTCTTCCTGAAAGTGACTGGTCCTTTAAAAACATTCAGGGACCTTGAGGCTTTGCACGGAGTGAGAGTGCATGGTGGGCTGCACCAGGATTCCCTTCTCTTAGCCACCTGCTCACTGGAGCCAAACTCCACCCAAGCTCAGATGTATAGAGAATACAGAGATCCTGCAAAGACGCCCAAATCTTTCCTCCTGCTCAGCAAAAAGGTGACCCCAAAACCAGACTCCCCCGTGAAAGAAATCAAGAAGCAGAAACCCGGGGGGCTCAAAATTCCCTCCAAGTTTTGCCCTCATTTTGGATTGGAAAGTTTGTTGCGATGGAAATTTCCCACCCAGCCCTTCTCTCATCTTAATAAGCCCTGACGTAGCACTGGCAGCTCTGCGACTGGTGTCAGCAGGAGACGAGCCATGGAGTTAAGCGAGTCTCCTGTGTTAATAATGGTCCCTGGGAGAAAGTGCTCATTAACAAGGCTAACAAGTGCCATCGCGGGGGCCTTGACAGCACCACGGGTGACAGCTGCAAAAGTGCCCTGATGAGTGATGGCAGCCGCCACTTGCGCTCCCAGCACGGCCCCTCTGCCAGCCCAGCAGGGTTAGAGAGAAGGGCTGCCCAGGGCAGCGCTGGGAGCGAGGAGGAGAAACGCCCCTGCTCCAGGAGGAATGAATGTCCTCTCAAAGCACCACTCATGGCAGACAATGCTCAATGCCATTCCCCAGCTCTCTGCATCCCCCTTTCCCATCCCCCCTCTGGGCCTGCCTTCAAATAACTCTCCCCCAGCCTGCAAGTGGGGACAGCAAAGGAGCAAATTTCCCATTGCATTAGCACACAACAGCCTTCCCCTGGAGCTACCACACCTGGGTCCTCCATTAACCCACCCACTGCACTACCAGGGGCCTAACCCTAACTAAGCTTGGTGCTCTCTGGGGGTGGCCGTGGGGGGCTTGGAGGCAGATTTCTGGGAGTAAATGTCAGTAAATGTCGATTTCACTCTAGACACCCAAACCCAGGAAAATACGTTTCCATCTATAGTAATCCAAACGTACAGCTAGGCAAAGTCAGAGGCGGTTTGGATCTCACTGGAGTTTGATATAAGGAGCTTTACGTTGTGCGTTGTGACATGGGACGCTGACAGTTTGGGTTTAGATGATAAAGCCCTTTAACTTCTTAAATCTCAGCTGTCATTAACTAATTACCGCCTGAGCCCTGCATCTCCTCGCAACTGTGAGAATTTCAACAGCTGAAAACAGAAAAATATAAGACTTACACCCCACCGTTCTGTGCAACTGTGAAAACTTAAAAATCACTCAAATGCTTATAGATAAGCATTGATATTATCCATTGAGATGATCCAGATAAAACTTGAATTCTGCCAAGTCCAGTTTTCCTCCCGGGGAAGTGGGTCCTGAGACACCCCAAACCTTCTCCGTGTCCCCCAGATTTGAGGGAAGGACAGATAGGGCCAACATCCATCCAAAGGGAGTTTGTTTTGACACTATTGACATGGTCTGTTGACCTGGGACATTAGCCAGAGGTAGGGACGGGGGGGGGGACCTTCAGGGTAGAGGAAAAACTGCACATTAAGGGACACGGGAGTAACCGTGGCTCATGGGAGGGCTCTCTCTATATAGAAAGACCACTGCACAAAGGCTCTGCTCTGTTGTCTTTGACCTCTGTGCAGGGCTGGTGACATGGTTCCCTCTCCAGAAGCTAATGGCTCCTCCTCCACTTCCCGGGCCATATCTCTGGATTAATGGTGCCCCTGGCCTGGCTGTGTGACTCTGCCATCTGGCAGCACTGACAGGAAGCTTGGCCTAGAGGTTAGAGCTCATGGCCGGAACTAGGGATGAATATTTAAGTGAGGTTAACTGGTGGTTCAGGTTAACTGGTGGAGGCTGGAGCAGCTCCCCTGCTGCTGCGGGCAAGGGGCTGCTCCAGGCCCCCAAGGGGCCCACCGCAGGTAGGGCCTGCTCTGACCAGACAGCCCAGCAGTGGGTGGAGGGGAGGGCGGTACAGACAGGCTGGAGAGACTGCACACACACCTCCCCCCCACCTGCCAGTTAACCAATTAAACAGGATTTTACATCCATAGCTGGAAACCAGGAGACCTTGTCTGTGATCCCAGCTCTGCCACTGACCTGCCTGCTCTTGGGCAAGTTGCTGTAACCATTCTGTGCCTCAGTTTCTCCACCTGTAAGTGAGGCTACCAGTACAACCCCTTTGCATTCCCCGGATGGCTAGGGAAGGGTTGGGACTGAGTGGGTTTCTCAGGCCTGCGCCGTGCAGGAGGTCAGACTAGATCATCATAAGGATCCCCCGTTCCCCAACTCAAAATCCACAATCCACTCTAGCTACAGCTGCTCATCTTGGCCCCCACACCACATTGTGCCTCCCCCACTCCTGTTCCGCCCTTCTCAGACAGCACCAGCCAGTGCCAAGCACTGTGGCCAGCCTGCCCACTCCGGGGCCTTTTACACCCATTTTGCAGCCAAGGATAAAATGCTCTCGCCTGGCACTTCTGGCTGGGGAGCATTTTCCTCCCACCTGGCACGATGTCGATGGCTCCAGGAGAGGAGACGGGCCTGGCCCAGGCAACGGTGGGGCCTGTGAAGTATTAATGGCTGGCAGAACATACAGCAGCAGAACAAGGCCCAAAGGCAACTAATCAGGCAGCTGCTGCTGCACATGGACCCCGCCTGGCCATGCCAAGCATTGCACATGCAAGGCAGAGCCTTTCTCCAGGATCTGACCAGCTAAACACGGAGCAGGCAATGTCCGTTCCAAAGGGCAGGGCCCGTCTGCCTGCCCCGTGAGTGCCACACGCCCTGCAGAACATACCTGTGCTGTGCAGGGGAGGCTACAGTCCCTGGTGCAGCTCCAAGCCACTTTGAAATAAACCCAGCCACCAGCAGCTGCTCTGCAAGCTGCGTGCTAGTGCCAGGAGCTCAACAGGCTGGGCCAAGGGTGCTGCTAAACTTGGGATGGATGGTGCCATCTGCTGGTTTGCTAGCATCATTGCCTCACTAGGACAGACACAAGGCCTAGATCAGGGCTACTCAGCTTTGGAAGCCCCAGGAGCCACAGTGATACTCACAGCACATGCCGAGGGCCACAACTTAAGTGTGGCTGCATGTACATGCAAATATTTATGCAAATATATGCAAATAGCTTCTTTCACACTGGCGGGCATGAATACAAAGATTAATGCAAGACAACACAACACTTAGGCCCCATTTAAGTCAGTTCTGCTGCTATTAATAAAATGCAACATTTACCCCATTTTCATCCATATGACAGCACTTTTAATAAGCAATGACAGTCCAGGGATCTAACTACTAAAACGCATATCAACAGAAGACCATTATATTGACTCGCCGTTGTGGAGCGTGTTCCCAGTGGAGACCATGTTCAAAGAATCCCACCTGCGGGCCATGCTGAGCCCTGCACAAACCCAAACCGCCCCGTGGGCTGCAAACAAACAGGCCACATGTGGCCCACGGGCTGCGTATTGAGTAGCCCTGGCCTAGAATCTGACCCGGGAGGCATTAATTTGCTGCATGAAGAGCCAGAAGCAGGGCTATACAAGGGTAGTTCTGAGGTGTCCTACCCAAGCAGAGGCATAGTCCTGCCTCTTCTCAATCTTTACAACGTACTTATTATTCTAATTTAGTTCCTTGAAGGCTGTAATACTTTGGTCTAATTGTGGTTGTCAGGTCTGGTGTAGAAATGGCTAGATGGTATTTAGAAGCCGGTGACACACCGGAGGTCCAACAGATGATCAGGACTTAAGTCCTATGACTCCTGAAATCAATCTGGCCTGGGGTGAAAAGGGAGAAGATGATGCATGATCCCTTTAATCCTGACCCTTTCTGCTGAGATTGCAACTGGTATGTGTATGGCAAGAGGTCTCCGCCGGGGTAGCATTGTTTGCTCTCAGGGCACCTATCATAACCCAAGTCACCTGCCAGACCAAGTTCATGCCTTTCCTGCACACTAGTCACAAAGGGTCATTCACTCAAGACGTATTTGGGAAAATATTTAAGCAGGTGCTTAACTTCAAATCCCAGTGGAACTTAAGCATTTTATTTAGGTGCTCTCCTGATCTGGGGCCTCAAACCATCCTCCCACCCATTTCTTCGTCCCCCTCCCACTGTCTATTCACTTACCCTAGTCTTCGCCTGAATATGATATCATTTCACCAGGAGGCAGGGGAGCAATCTTCCTGCAGTCCTGAAGCTTAAGATAGCACAATCCAATATCATCCCTATAGAAACTGCTGGCTTTCTAATTACTTGCTTATGTATCTGGAAAATGTGCTGATCAATTGCACAGAGGGAGCAGGCCGCTTTGTGAACTCGCTCATGGTGGGCAAAAGCAGCAGGACTGCCCATGCCACTAAACATCTGGTGGTCTCCAAGGGGGGAAGGTACATTCCACTGCCTCGGCTCACAGGCAGAGGGAAACAATGCTTTGGGTACAGGTAAGCAGGCCGAATCTCATTCAAGTCCTTTAACCCAGGAACAATGTGGTGTTTTGCCCTTTAAAAATCTTGGGTATGAACCAAGGATCCAAAACTAATAGGAAAATTAGCTGGGTGGCTCCAAAACTAGGAAACCAGCTTTTGGTTTGTCTCATCCTTGTACCATCACAACCCGGAGCAAAGCAGACATGGAATTTGTGCCGTAGAACAATTTCAATGTTTTTTTAAAGACAGTCCACTATATCAACATGGGCAGCTACAAAGCATGAGACACACTGCTGAGGACTCCAAAATGACTTGAATTCCTACAGGTCTTCATGCCTTAAACAGTAGTGATAAGAATTCTGTGACTGGGCTGGACCGGACTGCGTAACCAAATAATATACAATAATTGTGAACTGATTCTAACACTGTGGGCCTCAAAGACTGATTCGGGTGTTTATCTCTTCTAGACTAGAAGTTGGTCCCTATTTCAGCCACAGGGGTACCTACATGAATGCAGATCTCTTGTGCAGACGAGCAAAGCCACTATTTATACTGACCCTCTCAAAACCAGATTAAGTCACACCAGTGCAAATTGCAACCTATATCGATTTATCCCATCTACATGAAAAGTTTGCTTTCGCGGCAGCTACAGAAATGAGAGCAAATCCCTATCCCTATCATAGGGTATGTCTGCACTACAGCACTAATTCGAACTAATGCATCCAGACTAAAAAACTAGTTCGAATTAGCATTTTGCTAATTCGAACTAGCATGTCCACACAGAGTGGACCCTGTTAAGGATGGCCGGAAGCAGTGCCGGCAGGGCATCAGATGAGGACTTAGAGCGTGGCGCTGCTGTCTCAGGCTAGCTGAGGGCTGTGCTTAAAGGGACCCAACCCCCAACCCGGACAGACAATTCTCAGGGGTGCCCCGCTTGCAAAGCAGTCCTGGCTTGGATTGCCCGGAGTACCCACACTGGGCACATCACAGCACTCGGCCATCAGACCGGCTGCACTTGCCGCAGGCTGCCATCTGGAGAGAGAGGGCAATTGGGGGGCTGCAGGAGACCTTCCACCCCCAGAAGCCCGCAGAGCCAGCCCAGTCCTCCCCATCGGGGGCTCGTACCCCATTACTCCCTCACCTCCTTCCACTTACCCTTCCCTAGCCCCCCTTCCTGATGTACAAAATAAAGGACAATTGTGGTCAAAAATAGAATCTGTCTTTATTGAACAAAACTGGGGGAGACTGGGAAAAGGAGGTGGGAAAGGGGAAGAGAGAGGGTGGGAGAGGGGAGGGCAACTACAATGATCAGGGGTTGGGAACAGGTCCCATATGAAGAGAGGCTAAAGAGACTGGGACTTCTCAGCTTAGAAAAGAGGAGA